CGAAAAATCCACGAAATTCACAAATTCGAAAATCCACAAATTTAGAAAATTCAAAAAATCCAGAAATTCACAAATTCGAGAAATTCACGAAATTCCCAAATTGGAAGAATTTTCCACATCAATAATTTCAAAAAAATCCACTTTCTGAACACTCCCGGGGGGGCGCTCACAAACACTAAACACCTTTGGAGAACCACTTAAAACCCGGAACCTGACGATATACTTACTTTTTGTCTTGGATTCAAAAATTGCACTGCACTCGAGAGAATCACTTGTCAAACTGATGATTGAGACGCGCAAAACAAATATGGCGAGTGCATTTTTGTTTTTTATTTTGAATTCATTTCTAATGAATTTTACGCCATGGAAATACTCCAGCGGACGCGTTATCGCATCGTCCTCTGGAGTAAACACCACGAGTGCGAGCCAGGGTGTCGAATTACACCGGCCAACGCATCTCCGAGACAAAACAATCGAAAGTGCGCGAGAGATTTCTTCTTGAGGAAATGATACGAGTGCAATAATTTCCTCAATGAAATTCTTCCTGAATTATTTATTAATAATTCTGGAAGTCAAAAATTCAAAGAGAGAAAACCTCAGAAATTAAAAAAATTGAAAAATTAAAAAAAAATCTCTAAAATAACTTCTCCTTTTATATAGAGAAGTTAAAAAAAAAGAACAAAGTAGGGCAGCACCCCCTACGCATAGATCTTTTTCCGCCCCATTCCTGATCCCCGTATCGTCTCAGTCCAAACATACTGAGCGATATCATGAAATAAGAAAAAAACACAGAATGGTGAATTATAAGAAAAAGAAAAAACTCATGCATTGCCGCTACTCTTGCAACGCATAGGTTTTTCCTCCCCCCACTTTTATCCAAGACGTTGGAGGGTCCACTCTCATTGCCTGGCCAGCACTCGGCAAAAACATCCCCCCCCTGCCGCCCCTTCCCCTCGCCGTCGCGACCACCCCTTCCCCCCGCCCCCCTCGCCCACATTTGATCCAGAACACTCTTATGTAGTTTCCTCCCCCCACTTTTATCCAAGACGTTGGAGGGTCCACTCTCATTGCCTGGCCAGCACTCGGCAAAAACATCCCCCCCCTGCCGTTGCCCCCCTGCCGCCCCTTCCCCTCGCCGTCGCGACCACCGCTTCCCCCCACCCCCCTCGCCCACATTTGATCCAGAACACTCTTATGTAGTTTCCTCCCCCCACTTTTATCCAAGACGTTGGAGGGTCCACTCTCATTGCCTGGCCAGCACTCGGCAAAAACATCCCCCCCCTGCCGTTGCCCCCCTGCCGCCCCTTCCCCTCGCCGTCGCGACCACCCCTTCCCCCCGCCCCCCTCGCCCACATTTGATCCAGAACACTCTTATGGCTACTACTTGTACCAATTATTCTGTCCACACCCGCCATCCAGCAGACAGAATAGAGTGGAATCCCACCTTGATTTTTGGATATTTTTCGAAACAAAAAATCAGTTTCACAAAAAAAAAAGAAAAATCTGCAATCCAGATGGGGAAAGGTAATACAACGCGGAATTTTCAACTCTTTTCGGACTTTCAGGACATTTCTGGTGCTGTGAACAACGTTAAACCATGCTCAATCGAAAGAACGGGAAATTTCCGCCAATAATACATATTGAAGACTCAAAAAATGTCTTATCATTTCTTCTGACAGCCAGAATTTCAACAAAAAGACGACAAAAAGTTGAAAATCCAAGAAATTGACTTTTCCGACGATAATGGGGAGAGTTTTTCAAAGCTCTTTTGATAGTAGAAAAAACCATCGGAAAAGTCTCTACAAAATTAAAATTTTCAAAGAACGAAACCGGACCAATTTTTGCGAAATCACTCACAATACAATTTCGTGTTAATCATTCATTCAAGATTACCTCAAAAAATGGTCTAAAAAAAATTCAGAATCATCTAAGCATGAACATTTATTAATCTCCCAAAAAACGGGAATACGCCCTTTTAGTTTCGTAAAAAAATTCTCATAAAAATGAGTCAGATTCATCTGAAACGTGGAGATTTTGTACTCTCTCAGGAAATGATTATACAATCTTTTGGTCCAAATTTGGACAATCTTTGAATTTACTCTAGACAGAAAAAAATTTGTCTCAAAAAGTTAGGCTCAGATAACTCACAATCATCTGAAACGTGGAGATTTCATATCCCCTGGGAAAGTGTTTACACGACCTTTTCACACAAATTTTTGGGAAAACCAAAAAAAAATGTTTATACAAACTTTTGGCACAACTCATGAGAATCCTCCTTAGAAAGGAAAATATTTCAAAAAATGCAAGTTTAGAATCCAAGTTTCTAGAATCTAGTAAAAAGAGACATGAAATTTATCGAAAGAATTTCAGATTCAAGAAATAAATGGATGAAAATAAGAATAATACGGATCATTTCTAGAATTTTTTCTATAAAAATAATTCGATATGATAGTTGAGTTTATCATTCTTCGAAGGATAAATGTAACCATGATGAATTGATCAATTTCATGATTTTTTTTTCTCTGTGCGGGCTGGACTCGGTTGACCACATCAGCACTGAACGTTAGGCTCGGCATACCGAATCAGGGCCGAAAGGTTTAGCGAGTGAAATTTCTAGTAGGGATTGTATTGCCGATATCGGATTTTTTCACTCAGAATGAACTTGCGTCTAAAGCATTTTTTTCAATTTCATTTTTTATGGAATCGGTAGTTCGCCAGATAATATATAATATTCATATCATTGGCTTCTGGATGGATGCCGCGTTCGATTTCACCGTTGTGCCGATGTTTCGCAAGCATTGCAGTCTGCATCTTCAGGGCTGTGAGCTCGATTCTGAGCTTTAACTTGTGGGGGTAGTTCTCATATTCCCTATCCCTCCCCTATTATGGTGGGGTGTGTGAGGAGGGGGGGGGAGGGTTAGTGTTCGGTTTTTCACCGAACTATTCCTCACACACATACGCACACTCGCTCCTCTCGCATGCTTACATGGCTTCGCACAACTGACCTACGCAATCGCCTTAAATTACCAGTGGCATCTCACCTATGACACCTGAGGTGCTACTTGATGGACAGGTGTCGTGTGAACGCCCCCATTTAAATTGGGGCACGTTTGGACCTTCGATGATTGACACCTGCCACCTTGCCATCCTTTAATCGCTCTCATTTGCATTTCGGCCATCGTACAGTGTACTTTAATTTTCTGCGAATTGCTCTATTGTTCTTCTCGAGTCCCGCGTATTATTGCTCTGCGTTGATAATCCTATGCACTGCTCAATAGTATTGTGAACCGCGCTCTTTGTTTTGAACATCTCGTTAATTAGAATTAAACAAACACGTGTAAATATTGACTTTATCTTAATTAAACTATGTTTGACCAACGTGCACGTGTTCTGATTCTTGGACCTTCTCGCGCTCCTGTTAAAATCCATTCAGATCTCGCTCATCGCTCGCTTATTCCAAAGATTTCAGACCTGGCATCGAACAGTTAGCCAATCATTTTTAATTGACCACCTGATCAATTAGAAATGATCTAAAATTTTCATTTACTTAGAAATGATCTAAAATTTTGATTTAATTGATCAGCTGGTCAATTAAACATGATTGGCTACCCCCCCCCCTCCCGCCGCCCCCCCTCCTCACACTCGCCACCATCGTAGAGGAGGGCATATAAGGACTATCCCCATTGGAGCTCAGAATCGGAGCGCACAGTACTGAAGATGCAGACTGCAATGTTTGCGAAACGTCGACGTAACGTTGAAACTGAATGCGGTATCTAGCCGAAAGCCAATGATCTCAATAATCATGGCTGTGAAAGCCTCAAAACTAACATGATAATATTATTTGGGGACTTGCAGAACTAATGGGATTAGATTCTCAAGAAGTTCTTTCACTCTGGCCCGTTGTGACATTTTTCCCTACTACATTCTATATCGATAATTACTTACATATGCTGAATTGTAAAAAATCAGCCTATGTTAAAGTAGTTCAGATCAAGAAACTTTATTTTGAAAAGTCTCTTGTCGAAAGGTCTCTTTATTGAGTTTCTGCTTTAAATTTATTAATGTTAACATGTACATTGGTCAGACATTGAATCTAAAATCTTTTTGTGCACTTTCTATTTCAGTTACGCTCTACTCTGCATCAGTAATTTTCTGTCTGTTTCCTTTGAAGCCACTAATCCTTGATATCGTCTGTCCTCTCAACGATTCAAGACCAAAAACGTTTGCGTTGCAGACCGATTACTCTATCTACGGCATCAATGCAAATGACAATCATTTTATGATCACAATGCATGGGTTGTTTACTGTGACGATTCTGATACATTTTATAGTAACAATTGATACTTTCATGTTAATCATAGTCCTACATTGTTGTGGACTATTTGAATCTGTTGGGTGAATCTTTTTTAACTGTACTTTTAAACGAACAACACTTTTTCATATATTTATCTCACGTTTTGTTTCCAATATGTAGGGAAGTTTTACAACAGATCCGGGCAGATTTTTTTCCAGAACGGCAGTATAAAATTGTATGTGACGGCATAATAATACATCATCGAGCCATAACGTATGCATTTATATTGTATCCTTTTCTTACACAAGCCGTCTTTTAATAATGACATATCACTCTCGTAATATATGGACCTGTCAGAACCACTCTATTCAGATATCATCATTTAATAGATTGGCTGAATCCATTGAAACATCGTTTACAATAATGTATGGGTTCCTAGTTTTAATCACCATGATACTAATCAGTGTTGTAGGACTCCAAGTATGTAGTCAGTCCAGTCTTTCATGAGAACTCTGTAGATTAGCTAACCTGCAGAACTATACACCATAAAATAATTTCAGACAATCATGAATTTTAATGATCCAACCGAAGTGATTAGATGCGCTGCATTTGGGGCCACCCTGAGTCTCCACTTGTTTTTCATAAGTATGCCGGGTCAAGAATTATATGATCATAGTAATCGAGCTTCGGAAATAATGTATGTACGAGTAAATTGGGAACGTTAGACACAAATATGATTTTTTGTTTGTAAATGTTTCTTTTTAGTTACAGTTGCAATTGGTCCGGTATGTCTCTCAAGGCGAAAAGACTGATATCCATCATGTTGATGCGTAGTATGAAACCAATGCGAATGACTGCTGCGAAATTTTACCCTCAAAATATGGAGAGTTTTGGGAAAGTAAGACATAGTGTACAGCATTCATGAGTCCATTGAAAATGCTTTATATAAACGAATTTTCCATAATTTTTCAGGTGTTGAAAACTTCATTTTCGTTCTTCACAGTGATGTTGTCAAGTCAATGATTCTTACCTAGAATTCACGTCCAAAACCGAAGTGTATTTTTTAATTTTCCATTCAACTATTGAATACGAAGATGATGCAGGAAACAGTCTATTTTCAGGTGATTCCATTTGAAAGAGTGCGGTTAAATAACTCTTTGAAGAAGAGATGAAGATCCAAATAAATCGAATGAAGGGGGTAAGGTTCAACGAGGAAATTCAATGAGGATGGAATTCAGGTTCCATTACTCACGTTTTCATGTTATGAAAATAAAGTTACTTTTGTTGAACGGTAAATGCTTTTAGTATCATTCCAGCCGTAAATGTACATTTTAATTCTGAAATTGGTCATGGTAATACTGGTTTATTCAATAACTTGATTTCTAAACTAATAGAAATACACGAGGATAAAAAACACTTCAATGTTCACACTCTCTTTACTACGTCATAGTCTCAAACTCAATTGATGCACACGCGACCTGCGAACAGAACCTTAAATAAAGAAAATTTTTTAATTTAAGTAAGAAACTTTATTTCATGCTATTTAAATAAACTTCCTTATTTGATTGAAATAAACTTCATTTGATTTAAATAAATCATTCCTCTGGGTGTATCTCATATTCTTAACCCTATTAGAAAAAAATTGAAATTCGAATCCTTACACCATAAGTTGACGTTTGTTTCAGTGATTGCAGGGCTTATTATATATTATTACTTCCTCATGAATAAAATTTGAAGTTTCCATTGATTCTTTCTTCGCTCGGAATAACACGTCTGAATCGAAGCCGAGTTCTAAGCTTTGCGCCACTGCTCAACCTGAAGTACCTGGTTGTGCCGCTCTACCATCGAGCTGTAAACCGATATCGGGTGCCGTGGCACGCCGTAAAGGAATATGTAAAAGACCGACAGGTCATAAATACTTGGAATAAAAGTACAAAATATAAGCCTCAACCTCCACCTGCGACTTCCCGTTTTGCTTCCGAATGGAAGCTTTGTATTTGTCAGAGTTTGAAATTCTCTAATTACGCTCAGAAATGACGTAGAATGCGCTGAGAATTTTTTTTTTTTGAGAAGTACGTCTTTATCTCTATCAAGAAACCCACCCATCAAGTCATACTTTTTACATACACGCAAATGTGTCATCGCGTTATAAACTTCTGGGTCGCATCTATCTAAATATGCCTTTTTTCGAGCACCTGAGCTCACTCCCAGAATATTAGTGTTGTCTTGCATCGTTATGTAACCATTAGTGGCTTTAATTTCTTGATGAATTAACAGTATTGTGGAAGATAAATTGAACTGCATTGCAGTTGGATTGGGACACCAACCGCTACGAGCCCTGAGAGCACAAAAAATAACTCCAAATGGTCCTGGCTTAACTTTGTGACGTATTTTGCCCCTTTGCGGAGACCAGACAAAAATACGCAACCCTCGGCGACCAAATTTTCCAAACCAAAAGTTGAGCGCTAGTACGTTCTCTTCTCAAAACGCAGAAAAATCAAATTCTGAATTCTACACAATGACCAACGAAGGAACAGCTGCCGACAGCTCAGTATATCAACCGCGGAGGCGGCTGGGTCCCACAATACTGCTCCGAAAATTTATTTTAAAATGACTGAGTTCAAAATTACCAAAAGAATCAGAAATACGGGGTAACAACATAAATTTAATAAGATAATTTAAAAAATTGAAAATCTGATTTCAAATGAAATATAGTACACAAAACCCCATCTTATTCTCAATATTCTAGGCACTTAATTTTCGGGAAGAAAACACAAAGACAAATTACAGAATAATAAATAAACAATCAGAAGACTCGATACAACACAACTCCCTAGCCGCGATATATCAAAGGATAAAATACTAGTCAATTAAAAGCCAGTTAAAATTAGTCAATTAATCCGTAGTCATTAAGAAAATGTCAAACGGTAAAATAACTAGCAAAATTACCAATGAGTCAAAGTAACCGTGGTGCAGGAATCTACTATTACACCGAGATAGCAGTACATCCACCCAAAGTGGCGAGAATAAGAACCTGACACTACAAGCTATTGAGAGGGGAATTGCCTTGAGAATCGAAAACAACACAGCCGGAAACTGACTAAAGGTCATCCGGCACAAGACAAAAACTCGAGCGCCGAAAACGCTACAATCCCTCTGACAATGACTGCAATAATCTAACGGTCTCTAAATGAATACGCCGAAAATTTAGTGCGATAAAATTACATCTCCAGAGGCCGAAAGAAACAATTCAAATATCTCGAGAGTAAGTATTACCAATTCCGAGATCTCAAACCGTCGGAATACCCGAAAGTCGATATTAATTACGCGACGGAGGCGAAACGAGAGTCAATAAAATCAAATAAGAAAATCAACTAGAATCACTGGAATTTATCCGGACGAGATAAACTACAAACTCCAAAATTAACCGAACAAATTAATCAATCAAAAGTCGGACCCGAAAATTATGACTCTGCCGAACAAGGGGTGAGCACAGGCCTGAAAATATTTCAATCTTAAATAACGTTAAATGCCACGGACCAAGCCTCCATCAAAAACCTATGCCAAACTCACTCCTTGTGAGACACTTTAACACTTTAAAATCAATCCACCGCTCACCAATCAATTAAATCCCGATGACGATAGATCTGGTCTCAAGTCTTTCCCAAAAATGTCCAAAAATAGCCCTCAGTGGAGCCTCGGGTCTCGACAGCAAAAATCCAAACCAAAATTGACCAAATCACGAGACGAATCTTCGCACAGCGACATGTCTGGTGTTCAAACGAGAAGTGACTGTTGTCCGTACAACTGATCCACGCGGCAACGTTCGCCCAATCACACGATTCTGTGATTGGTCCACCACGACAATGTCTTCGCTCTGATTGGACGTTAAAGCCGCACTCAACCAGAGTCAGCGAAATTTCTAGAATGATTCCACGCGCGTAATCATGTTTAGCGACGTGAATCGCATACCAAAATACAAATTACAATTACATGATAATCCAAACGATGCCCATCATGAATTGGCAGTTTTCAAGACATCTCACGTCAGTCCAGAATTTTCAAAATCCAAAAACGAGATCGTTGTCTGAGTCCCCAACTCTCCAACTCCATACCCTGGCGTCATCATTCGATCGTCCAGGCGAACCCAGTCATGTGCGAGGCCATTCAATAATCTTCCGGCCTAATATCTCGTACTCCAGAGAATCCGAGACCCGAAGACAGGTTACTGGAGTATCCCACGAAGATCCGAACTCCATCCCGCAATGATCCAAAACTCCACCCCACGATGTGATCCGGTGAGCGGTCAGACGACTCGATACAAACAAAAATTATTAATAAAAGGTCCAAAATTACTCATCAAATGACTCTCGCCTCGCCAATAAAGTGACCTTTCATCTGGAAAACTCCGACAACCGCTAAACGGTTGAAATCTTAAAAATGCCATGTTACAACTTATATGTCAATACCCAGGTAGGAAAAAATGAACGGGCCGAGCTCGGTCTAACCCCGGCGGCCGGGCTGCCGAACTCCGGGGCCCGTTCCTCAGCCGGGACCGCGCCGGACTTGGTTGAAACCTGGAATGATAACATGGGGCCAGGCCTGGGTGCCAATCTCGGCCCAGCATTGGTTGCCAGTCGTTAGTCTAACTCAATTAAACATTACTTAATTACATGAATATGATATCAGTGATTGAAATAGAAGTAATTCAATCTTACTCCTGAGTATCCGTATGTTATGCCCCAGATTTGGTCAACTGCGTTATTGTTTAATATGTGGACATACAGCATTGTCAGCGTGACACTTGCCGGCGTAACTGGATTATGCTGACCAAGTGATGAAATGTAAACAATCAATGTATTATTTAAGAGACGATTGGGTCTGCACAGAACAGACCTGAATTGGCCTCTGATGTGTACAAAAGTCGTAAACTCTTTGTAATCAGTCAGATGACACAGTAATTATAATCATGTAATAAATTCTCATATTTAAATACCGATAAACCATTGGTGGGATTTATCCCATTAAGCCTAGAACCTACTATAATTATAAGTACCCCCCACGCTGGGTACAACACGTAGCAAGTTCAAGGAAGAAAAAAATTAATACCGACATGCGATTGGCGCCGGGCTGGCTGCCAAACTGTTCATGATAATTATTATCAATAATAACAAGAACAAGATAATTAACTTTTTTTAGGATGATTTTTAGTATTGTGCCCTGCTTACCAAACCCTAACGCGGGCTCGAACCCACGACCTTACGACTACTAATCCGACGCCCTAACCACTAGCCTATCGCGCAATTCGTAAAATCTCTCCTTCAAATCGTCCATATTAATTCCACCTCGATTTTTTTTGACTCGAACGTTTTATTATTCAGTTGATAGAGATATTAAGTGATTCAACTATAGTTGAATCAGTAAATTAATTCAATAATGAATAACAATAATAATGACTTAATTAATTCAATAATGAACAGCAATAATAATGACTTAATTATAATAATAATTATAACAATGATGGCAAGTAACATGTGACTTCAAAACCTACAATACCACCATATTTCAACGATTACAGGCTTAAAATTAAACCTTCAAGATTCCACCCTTACCATTCAACCCTCACAATGTCACAATTATGATTTTTTCGCCCCTTTTCATTGTTACGATTTAACCCTTACAATTTCACTCTTCAGATATTAACCTTATGATTCCATCCCTATGATTCCATTCTCATCATCTAACCCCTCCGACTTAACCCTTACAATTACACCAACAGGTGGAGCCCAATGACCCGGCTCCGGGTGGCTGGGGCTTGGTTATCGAGCTCCGGCATGCCAATGTTCGGCCAGGGCTGAGTCAGATCTGTTAACCAAGGCTCGGTTACCCCCCCTTACACCGCGGATCAAGCCTGGTTCCCAGACATAGCCGAACCTTGGCCCAAGCTAGACTGCTCAGACCTGGCAAGCCCAGACTTGTGCCAGACTTGGCCCGTTTTTTCAACACTGGCATTTCCTACCTGGGTAAATACTTCATGAAAGCGGCTGGTGCCTCCTCATTTTTTTCA